TTCTTAACCCCTTTTTGGTTTCCTTTTTCCTGGTCTGGGGTTTTAAAACATGGGGTTTTTTTTAAACCAAAAACCCTTTTTTTTTTTTTTTTTTTTTTTTTTTTTTTTTCCCCCCCCCCCCTCCCCCCCCCCCCTTTTTTTTTTTTTCCCCCCCCCCCCCCCCCCCCAACAACTTCAACCCTCCACTTACCGGGGTGCGGTTTTTTTATTATATTATTATTATTTTTCATTTTCGTGAGGGAAAGAAGAGGAAAAGGGGGGGGGGGGGGGTTTATTTTAAAATTACACCCGGGGCGGCCATTTTCGCTGCCGGCGCCGTCCCGCCGCCCGCCCGCCCTCACACCGCGCCCTGAGGCGATTTTAACCGATCCGGCCGTTTTTCAACCCATTCCCCGCCGCCCCCCCCTCCGCGGCCCCACCGGGCCCGGCCCGGGGGGGGTCTCCCCGTTTTTCATCCCCCCCCTCCTCAATTTTGCCCTCACAACCGAGCCCCCACCTCGGCGGCGGGGGCGGTTTGGGGGCGGTGGGAGCGGCGCACGCCGAGGGTCCCCTCGGCCCCCCGCCCCTCACCCCGCCATGGCGTCCCCGCTGAGGGAGGACGAGGAGGAGGAGGAGGAGATGGCGGTGTCCGAGGGGGATGAGGAGGACGACGATGAGGAGGACGACGAGGAAGAGGAGGAGGAAGACGCCGCCGCCGCCGCTGCCGCCGCAGCCGCCGCCGCCGCCGCGCTTTTGGCCGGGCACAGAGGGGCTCCCGACATCTTCGCCGGGCCGGCCCCGGCCCCGCTGCCGCCGCCGCCGCCGCCGCCGCCAGCGCCCGCCGCGCCCGGACCGCCGGAGGCGCCCGCAGGTACAGCCGGGACCCCCCCGAGTGACCCCTCAGAGTGACCGGGACCCCCCGAGTGACCCCTCAGAGTGACCGGGACCCCCCCGAGTGACCCCTCAGAGTGACCGGATCCCCCCGAGTGACCCCTCAGAGATCCCCGGAGGGACCGCCGGGACCCCCGAGTGACCCCTCAGAGTGACCGGGACCCCCCCGAGTGACCCCTCAGAGTGACCGGATCCCCCCGAGTGACCCCTCAGAGATCCCCGGAGGGACCGCCGGGACCCCCGAGTGACCCCTCAGAGTGACCGGGACCCCCCCGAGTGACCCCTCAGAGTGACCGGGACCCCCCGAGTGACTCCTCAGAGATCCCCGGAGGGACCACCAGGACCCCCGAGTGACCCCTTAGAGCAGCCCGGAGGGACCGCCGGGACCCCCCGAGTGACCCCTCGGAGCTGCCCCCAGTTTCCCTCAGAGCTTCCCGCCGGGATGCTCAGAGTGACCAGGACTCCCCTAGTGACCACCCCGAGCCCTCAGAGCTTCCCGGGGATACCGGGACCCTTCGAGTGAGCCCTCAGAGCTGCCCGGAGGGACCACCGGGACCCTCGAGTGTCCCCTCAGAGCTTCCCGGGGATACCGGGACCCTTCGAGTGACCCTTCAGAGC